ACACGTTTGTGTCTAATTAATCAACATTTAATCGACCATCCGATCCACAGATTGAATCGGCACCTTGAGGTCTTTCAACTTCTCAAAGCGCAAGAGCCTGGCTGCAGGGGCACTCGGAGCTTGACATTGTTGGACCAACCTATGTGCAACAAAGGATTTATGAAGCTGCTTTCGATTGGGAAACAGCGCTTTGCCACTATGATCTCATCGTTGAAATCGGGTTCCAAAGTTTGTCCCCTGGACAAAAGGTATATGCCCAGGGCACCGTTGCCTCAAACGCCCAAGCGTGCTGCAATCCATGATTTTTTGTTTGGTCTCTATGAACATGCTGCTGAAACTTTACCAGATCTACATCATTCAAGCTCAAACAAAAGACCAAGACAAGGGAAGCTCAAGTTTGATGACAAACACTTGGATAGATCGAAATTGAGATTCTTGCCACCAGGAAAAATCATGGACTATCTTCGACTTTGTCGTGCAGAGAACCCTGATATGACCATATCATCGAAATTATTTTCTTCTGCCAGTGCCTCATTTTTAAACACATGACTGGATGATTTGACTCAAGACAGTTTCAAGTGTTGACAGAAGGGTGGCAACATGTTTTAGCGCAGCCCACCCATGAGGTTTGGATGAACGACTTCCAGGACCGCCTTCGCATCAGAGCTGAGTCCCACCATGCCAAATGTTCACTCTGTGTGAAGCATCGCCTGATCATTCGGCGACTGCCACGGGGGCCGGGGCGGCTGGCCCAAGTTCAGCAATATAAAAATCATCTATCACGACAATATCGAGATCGTCAAGTATATTGGAGCCACAGAGCCCTATCGAGAACACAGTCGACTTCAGGAGCTCCAATCACCCATTTATCAATGATCGTTGACGGCATGGACCAACAGAAACATTGTTATCCCAAAAGCCAAGCCTTAAAGGCAAAAGAATTTGCATCATGGAGTAGACCGAGAATGCAGGCTACCACAGTGATATGTCATGGACATGCTATTGTAGTTGGACTAAGCCCTCAAAACACCAAAGCTAGTGGATCGAGAACAATGGAGCTGATCGCCTACATGATGACGAAGCCTTTGAAGTACATCCACTGGTCAAATGTTTTTCTTCATATTGAAGCTGACAATTGCTCCAAGGAGTTGAAACATCAAACATCCCTACGAATGATGGCTACACAAATAGCCCTTCACAAACTCCGGGGATGCGAATTTGACTATTTATCTTCAGGACATAGTCACGAGGATATTGATGGCCATTTCAGTTTAACAGCAGCCTACCTGGACCGCTTCCCAGAGCTTTGGTGCATCGATGATTTCCAGAATTGCTTGACCGAATTCCTATCCAACAAATCTGTCAGAGTACATGAGCCAAAGCGAGAGGTTCTTGTGTTTGACCAATTCCATGACTGGACCCGTGGCCAACTTATTCTTGTACCAAGTTGATTTTTGCTGAACAAGTTAGGAATTCTCCATGATGATGATCAGGCTCCAATTTTAAGATGGCTTCTACCATCATATCATACCAAAAAATCAATTTGTGGTGATTCCTTTAGGTCACTCGATATGAATCATCATGCATCTCAACGGTTCTCATCTCATGCCAAGGAAGGGCCATTATTCACACCACCTGAGCAACGCTCATTTGAAGGGCATCGGAGGGCCTGGGGCACCCCATCTATTTAGATTGGAGCGTGTTCGTGATGCAGGAGTGATTTGTGCAGTTCATTTGACAAGCCTGATTATTAACCTGTTTCCCTCCCGGGCTCCCTTGCCTGTTTGCCAGGACTATCTTCTGAGGAGCTGAACACCAAGTTCTGGCGCCGGCGGCGGGTGGAGTTCGGTCCATCTGATGTGGTCTTGAGGACGGGATTAGCTGGGATAGTTTCAAATCAAATTTGATGGTGATAAATTACCCAGCGGGTTGGCCGTCAAGAAAGGCTGTGGCAAGCCTTTCAAACATGTATCATAAAAAATATATAAGCATACAACCTTTGGGGTGACTTGTGCCCTTTTTAGAGGTCTCAATTCAAGATCTTGTAAGCACATTTAGAGTAACCATGCATTTGACATGTAGCAACAGAATGCTTCTCAGTTGCATGTTTTTTTTGGTTGCAGGACCAAAAGATTTCTGTCAAGCCCAGACTACCAGCCAGACAAGTTCCTCTACTTGCCAGCCTCAGTAGCCCAAGAAGTGGCCAGTGCTTCACCACCTCCAGGCACAGGAAATTGGGTTGCGGGTGAACATGTCATTCTGGCAATTTCCAACCCATGGCAGTCTACGAGCATGACCCAGTGAACACCCAGAGCGATGAGAACAAGACATTGCGAAGGTATGCCAACCTCCTGCGTAAAAGCCTGAGTTTCGACTCTGGAGAAAACATATCAAATGTCCGTTGGTTTTTTAGTTGAAATTTTTGACAACCGCCCTGAGGCCAACCACCTTTTTGCATGGACAGCGCGGCTGCATGCATTGAGGATTTGGCCAACAATGTGTATGGTCGATTTCCCATTTTAGATGTTACAATGCCCGGTAGCTCAGCTGGACACTCTACACTCTTTAGAAATATTTTTGGCCACTGCCTCAAATCTTGAGGGGTTGTTTCATGCTGTCAGGTGCATCCCAAACGGATGCCTTGCAGTGGGCCCTGGAGTTCGGTATCAACCTCCGGTGCAAGGACAGGACTTGGAAGCTGCCCCTTGCATTGAACAAGTCTCCACTCTCTACTGCAAAAAACATTGTTCGACAGTTATTTGTTCTTCCAACAAGTTGAGTTTTAATTCTGAATCATTTAGTGTTGAGGCTCCAAATGAGCTGAAGATTGTTGCTGAGAAGCCTTCCGGTGAGGAACGGAAAAAATATAAGAGGGCCAGGACAAATGCAGCACTTTATCGGGCTGCGGCCCTTTTGTGGGGTAAAGGGGTTGATATGGCAACAGCTATATCAATTGTCGAGTCGGCTATGAGAGATGCCGGTGAGGTCTGATTCTTACCATGGGATTCGAGTTGAATTTCACCAAAAAAACAAAACAACTTAACTTTGAAACTAGTGGACATTTTGAGCTTCGTTGACACACCGGGACCTTTTCCGACTCAAATGTGGTACTTGCGTGCAAGGTGCAACACAACTCAAACTTATCAAATTTGAAAATGTCATGGTGTCATAGTCTTTCATTCAGATTCTTTTGATGGGCACCTTGCCAAGCAGAAAATTTGTGCAGAGCACTCGGCCGAAATCCGGCCTTTTGTGAAGCAGTGCTCGCCAGCACCTTGTGGCAGCGATTGGGGTCCGGATTGAAACAAGTGCAGGAGCTCAACACAAGCCCTTCACTTTCACATGCCAAATTCAACTTTCAGCTAGTCTGCAATCCTTCTCCAGAAATTTAGCACTTTGGATTGTGAAGGGGTTGTGTGCACAAAATTCACTACTGATGAGGCACTGCAGTTTGTGCTTGATGAGGATGACATCCGGCACAAAACCTGTCAACTATGGGGAAAACTTTGAATACTCACACCAGAAAAAAATGCGAACTTTGATTTCCAATGATTCAATAAGGTTTTGTGCTGAATGACATCATCATTAAGCACAAACTGTTATCTCCATTCTGGGGTCGTTTTTGTGACAAGAAACTTAAATTTGGCTTTGGTAGCAACACCCCAAAAACAATGATTTTGTGAAGTTTGGGAGGTACAATCCGGCACAAAACAGTTTGGGGTAAGGTACGATCCGGCACAAAACAGTTTGGGGGAAGGTACGATCCGGCACAAAACAGTTTGGGGGAAGGTACAATCCGGCACAAAACAGTTTGGGGGAAGGTACAATCCGGCACAAATTCGATTGTGGCCAGGTGCAATCCGGCACAAAACCATTTTGAACGAGGTGACATCCGGCACAAAATGGGTTTGGATGGGGTGCTATCCGGCACAAAAAATTGGCTTTAATATGTTTTAACCAGTTGCCCCCAAATGCCAAATCACCTTAGAGAATATTTTTTCGGGGTCGGGAATAGGATAGCCAGTGAATGTCAACTACCCAACATGCCAAAAACTATCACCTAACTGGCTTAATCTTGATTGCCATAAGTTAAGTGAGACACCCGCTTCTGAGCCACCGGATGCCAGGGAGCAGTCGCCGTTGATCTCCAAGCCTCAATGGCGAAACGTGGGAGAGTTTCAGGGGAATCCAGCAACAAGGGCCAGAAGGTTGGTGAGCCCAAACTTCCTTCTATCCCTGCAGATTCTGCCAAACTTTCTCACATGAAGCTGTTCAATCAGTGGATGACTTTCAGCTGAAATTTGCTTTGAACTTTTCCAGAATGCCTTGGAACTCATTTTTTGTCGCCAGATGGCCATCAATCAGTATATATATATATATATCAATATAGTTCCTTCCCGTGCTACTAAGGGATGGATTGATCGCTCTCCATGGGACATTCGATGACTACATAGCCAAGAGACTGGAGACCAAGGACAGCTGCTGATACTTGTTGACTGCTTTTCACCTGGCAAGCACGGGGTTGCAGGAAAAGCGTGTCGAGTTCTACAAGATCATCGATGCAGCCTTTCCACCGGACGACAGCGAGCTTGGCCCTCATTCGTGAACAAAATCAATATCACCAGGCATAAGGTATTAGGAGTGAGTACCCCAACAAGAGAAATATTGCAACACCGAAACTCAACTCAAAGATCCATATTCTTTTGGGTGCTAAAGACAAACTAGATTTGATTTGATATATCATTGGGATGCCCTGGAAGAGCTTAGGTCATATGCGACTGAAGCATCATTTGAAGCCCCAGGGGCCAATGTTCTGCGGCCATGGATGCTTCCACACCGGCCAGATTACGGGCTGCGGGGAACTTCAGATGTTGTGAACTGACTGCAACCTAGACTAGCTTGTTTTTGATGCAACTGCACTGCATAAAATCAACACAGCATGTTCTTTGGCATCTTGCTTATGGGCGATTGAGGATGTCCAGCGACTCCTATGCCAATTGATGGCTCTGAATGGACTGCGCACAGATCCAAATGTAGCTGGGACAGAAAAAATTGTGGTGACCAAGTTGGATGACAAGTGGCTCTCCAGCCCCAAGGTTTTCTTGTCTGCGGCAGACATCGGTGTGGAAAGAGGCCTCCTCCCACCCGAGTCCTGCTTCATGGTCAAGGGGTGGAATAGGGGAGTGTGTGCCATCATTGTCATGATGGCCATGACCGAGCTGGTGGAGTTTCGGGAGGCCTGTTAAGCTGTTCAAAGGGCTTGCTTTGGTTTGGTCGCCTCACACAATGTTTGATCGCAAAAAACCTTCTTAAACAGTTGTGAGAAACACCGCATTTTGGTGACTTTCTGGGGTCTGTGGTAAGCCATTTCAATTTTTATTCATTGCTCGATCAATGTCAGGCCATGCCTGAAAATGTTGTGAAGCCCTGAGCTTAGTTTTGTTTGCAATGCTGGGGTGCTATTGACACTAGGTGACATTTGATTGCTGTTTTCTTGGAGGTCATTTAGCTCCATCTACATCACGAAGGTCGCTGCAGATTTGGCTGAGTGCGTGGAGTGCAACAGAGGAGCTCAAGTGTGTTGAACATCAATGTCTGACATGTTTTTAATCTAAATTTCACTCTTGGTATCTCTTGGTTGCCAGGAGTGACCCTTCAGGCAACTTCAATTCGCAGAAGGCCAAACGCCTTTAATTTTCTGCACCAGATGGAGGCTTTGCTGCGTATTGGGAGCACAAGTGATGCTGCAATGAATGGTTTGCAGGCCAGTGGGTCACTAGATTGGGGTGTTTTGACCAGTTAACCAAACTAACCGTCTCTAACATTCTTGCCATTCATCCTTGCCCTGGAGGCCCTCCAGAATGCTGCATCATTTGCTGCAGCTTACCAAATTGGTCGCTTAGAATCTGGGGCAGCTGTGAATCTCTTGACTGCTGTGACAGAAAAGACGAGGGAAGGACTCAAGGTCCTTGTGAGGCGGGGGCACAGTTTTAATTTCAAAAGCTGCTTCACTATCCACAATCCACTATTCACTATCTCAAGGCAAAACTAACATGGATGTGCTGAATCATCTTGTTCAGGCTCTTTGGCCAGCCAAAATTTCTGCTGCACGATGGCTTGGCTGCGGGGATCATGAATGTCACTTACAATAGTGCTACAGGTGCTTTGGAACCATGGGACAGAGTTTTGGGCAACTCCCAGCAACTCCCAGGATATTGTTGACTTGATGCTCCTAAGAATGCGTCGTGACTTCGAAGCCCTGAATCCCAAGATGAGAAAGCCATGGAACCAAACTCAGCTGGAATCTTCGCTGTTAACTTAAACACCATGATTCAATATAATATTATAAGCTTTTTCGTATCTTTTCAAGATTTGGCACACATGTTTCACTTGACATATTGCTTTATTATATGTGTGGTAAGTACTTAGAATCAATCCTATACCCCTCTTTCAGCCAACCCAGGAACAACTTCAGCGAGTGTGCGCATGCTTCAAGGCCATGATGGCCAAATTCCAGGAGATGGTGCCGAGTAGTTGCTTCGAAGAGGTACAAGGAGAAATCACGGCAACGTGTCTTTGCTGATTGAATTCTTCTCTGAAATGTAATGCTGTTCTTATGTTTACTGAGCAGGCTGATGCACACACAAACACACATATCACATATCAATTTGACATGTGAACATGTTGATCTAATCTGAGGTTCATGAACCGTCACATCGATGCCCAGTTGATGGAGCTTCTCAGCAAGTCTGTTCCACCCCCAGACATTACCAAGATCGACGTCTTCAATACCCATCTTGCCAAGTACCATCAAAAGGCCAGGCTGAAAGAATATTGGACCATTTTTCGTTTCTTCCACTGTTTTCTCTGGATTTTCCGTGCCTCCAGGTGGATGATGACAAAGCTTCCAAGGCAGCTGAGCCTCCCAGCGACACAATTGGGGGGGATGTGATGGGATGTGCAAGTTGCAGTGATTGTGATTTGAAGGGTTTCTGGTGTTTCTGATCAAAATGAAGCTGCAGGCAGCCCTTCTTCAAACAACATGGTCTCAGACCGTGCTGGACATCGAGTCGGATTTGTCTGCTCTTGAAAACTGGTCTTCCAAATTTCAAATCTTTGCATCCCAGCAGGCAAGCCCATGTTTCAGTATTTAAAGCAATCAAATAGAATATGGGCCATTTCTTTCTTCAGAATTTCATGTTCATCACACATCAGAATTGCAATGATATTGTCCCTCTCTGTCAGGGTGGCCTCGATGTGCAATACCTGGCCAGCCGGTACAGCCGGGGGAAGGAAGCTGTGGCGGGGTTCATGGAGCAGCGCCACGTGTTTGCCAATGTCAAACAGATCACTCTTGCACAGGGGGAAATTGTGGAGAAGCAAGCATCTTTGGGCAGATCCTTGCTGCTTGTCGGTCGAGACTTTGTTTTTCATGTTTTCTTACAGGTGAAGCAGCAAAGCAAAATGTCTTATCATGAAGAAACAAGCATTTAGCGCTGGCAATTTGGTTTCGAATAAGGTTGACCGTCATGATTGTTGATTGCAGCCTCTGGCCTGGGCGTGCCTTGGCCTACTGTCTGTGAATGCTTGTGTGTGTGTGGGGCATGTTTGCGCAACTGCTCACTATATCTCTTTTGCATTGGCTCCAGGTGCTCTATCTGTGGACGAGAGCTTGTCCCTTGTTCAGGCAGTGTGCGGGGGCAACAGCTCAACCTTGGGTTTCGTCCTGATGCCACTACCCCATTCATCTGCAGCGCATACAGCCATCTTGAACCACCGCCGGGCTATTGAGAACACATGCATTGCGACACTTGAATGCAATGATATGTGCCAACCATATGTTTGTGTGCATGTGGCAGCCTGATTAGCAAGCATGAGTATGAGCATGTGTACATGTGCGTTGTGTACATCAGGTCATTTGATGTGCAAGAGGTCAGCTTGATCTACAAGGAGAGCACTCACGGTGGAGACAAAAGGAAGACAAACCAACACTGTGCCCCAGCCAAGACAGTTTGCTAAGTCTTGATCACTTTTAAGATACTTATTTCGGACAGTCAATATGAATCTAGTATGCTACTTTGTGAGGTCTGGCGCTGACATCGGGGGCTCAAAAGCATGTTGAGTGGAGCAAAAGTCGCATGATGCTTGGTTCGCTCACTGGGATCGACAGGGCCAGAGTTACGGACTTGCAGAACCCTGATGATGACCGTCCGTTAGCACCACACTTTCGGGCTACTTGTTCAAAAAAAATGTGAGACTCTGTAACTGTAAGTTGAACATAGCTTCTGAGATCCAAGTATGTCCGCACAACACATATTTCTCGGTGCTTTCATTTAAGGTTCAACAACGGGGAGTCGAAGCTTCCAAATCCATCTTGATGAAGATGCTGGACGGCTTGCAGCTGCCTGAAGGTTCTCCAATCTTGGTGGTGGATTGCCTGCCCAACAAGCTTTTCGGCCAATTGGTTGGGGTGATTGTGTCACTGGAGTCTCTGATGATGATGTCTCTGATGATGGTGATAATCATGATGATGATAATCATGATGATGATGATCATGATGATCATGATGATGATAATGATGATGATGATAATCATGGTGATGATGATGATGATGGTGATGATGATGATGATGATGGTCATATGATGGTCATATGATGGTCATATGATGGTCATATCATGTCATATTTTATCAGAACTTTTACATGCAACAATCATCAACAAAGTCAAAACATTATCTATGATTATCTCAAAATTCCAACCTAAAATTTCCAATATGTTTTTTCCCTTGCTTACCTTTAAAACTGAGGTTTGGTGAATGGTCCCAAGCGTGTGCACAGCTGCAGCTAGATGAATTGCTTGGCAACAACAAGGCTCTGGCTATCACTTACTTGGGTATCTGTTTGTCTGATGATCCAAACATGAGATCCTTGTCTTCAACCATTGCGGGGCAGTTCATGGCCAAATGGTGGGACGTATCTGCGGAAGCTGGCCCCAAAAGACGACCCCGGACTGCCTTCAACGAGAGCATTCCGACTCTGAACATCCTGTCGGCGGCAAATGGAGTTTGCAAGACACTTGACAGCTGTTTTGCTTGCTAATCTTTGGGTATGATATATTAATATGATTCTGCAATATGTCTATCTATTGGTCGGCTATTTGTCTGTCTATCTATCCATCTACCTATCTATCTTATCTTATCTTATCTTGCCTCACCTGCCTTACCTTATCTTATCTTATCTTGCCCCACCTTGTCTATTCAATATATTTATCTATCTATCCATCTATCTATCTATCTATCGATCTATCTATCTATCTGTTTCTCTACTTACCTCACTTCCTATCTATCCATCTACCTATCTATCGATCTATATCTATCTATCTGCTTGTCTGTCTACCCAAATCCATTTATGTATTTGTAGTTGTGTACAGTATCCAAAAACCCATCTACAGAACCATTGTGTTACAGGGCAATCCCTATTTGGAAAACCTATATATTCACCATTCCTCTGATATCTTCACCGCTGAGGATTCCTGAGATGATCAAGACCAAATATGGGGCCAGCCAGTCTACTGCTCTGAGCAAGTTGGAGGATCAGATTGCCAACAATCGGGAACTTGCCAAGGCACTGAAAGGATCATTGGAGGAGTCAGGGGGTGGGGACCCATCACCATCCGGATCTGTCCCTGGGGAATCTGGATCTCGCACTTTGGCCAGCCCTGATTTTACTGGTGCTGTGGATGTCCCCAATTTCACCACCCGAGTTGTCTTGGAATCGAAGCCCATTGATGACTTCTACAATGGCCGGACGTTACTTTGTTTCATATATGAAACCACTTCTTATTTCTATTTGTTTCCCATTCAGATTAATAATAAGATTCCCCCAGGAAAAACACTGATGGAATTTTTGTGCTGCCACGATTATCTTGCTATGAGGATCCAGTGTGAAGCTACGTTGGCTGGCGAAACTAACCTTCGCATCTGCAAAGATTCCACTGGGAGCTTGTGGCTTGCAAATGATGGTGGCTGTGCAGAGCTAGGGCCGAAGGAACTTTTCGGGTTCAATCTGGGTGCCTTCACTGAAGTGGTGGCAGGACCTCTAGATGTCAGTCCAACATCGCATGGCTTTTAAATTGCTTTCAATCAATTTGGGAGCCAGCCACCATGATATTCTACATCCGAAAAGCCATAGTTCCCACACCAACTGGGTCATCTTCCCATTCCGTCCTGTGAGGAGATGCAGCCACAATTGCTGACTCCATTCCATGGCTTGTCACCTCAGACTTGCAGGTGGTGTGTGTGGTTTTCGAGAAGGATGGCAGCACCCAGAAGGAGCTCATGACGGTGGCCGACACCATGTGTTGGATTGCTCGGACTAAAGGAGCTACAGAGGCTGCAATGCTGGACCATGACCTGGAACCGCTGACAGAGGAGCATTGTAGTGGTACAGTATCCCATTATACAAATGTTTCCAAAAATCTTTTTTAATAATACTGCAAAGGAAAATATATTTATTCTTCAAACCCTGACAGGACGGGCCGAATGGCCAAAAGATCCCAAAGCAGTTTCGATATCGAATCATCCCCAAGAGCAAAGTCAACAGCTTCAAGCCGAAGAAGCTGGAGGGTGACACGGCTCTGGTGCGCTATTCCCAATTCGGGGCGATCTTTGACATGTTCAAGAACTTGCCATCGACTTCAAACTTTGGCATCGTTTGGGAGGTGTTTGCTGGGGAAACAATATGCCTAGGTCAGTCACTGTCATGGTTCTCACCCAGATTTTGGTCCATGAAATATGTTGTGGATTTTACAGCCATCATTTCAACATGTTCATTCGATGTTGGGAAGCTGGAGCAAATAGATAATCAATCTCAATCCCACGTTTTGTGTTGCCCTGAAGGTGAAAGTGTCTGATGGTATTCCCTCGGTGGTCACTCCGGCCAAGCCGAAGTTTTACTTCAAATCCATCACAACTGTGCCTGCCAAAACGGCAGTTTTGGTGCAGTAGTATCACACCATGGAGCCCAGATTTTGCATGGAGTGTTTCGGGTCTCAATCACCAATTTATATATATATTTACCAAATGGCTAAAAACCAACTACAGAATTGACAGCTTTCTACTTGAAAACATTTTGATTTCAAATGCAGCTGGAAGAGGCTACGCTCCCAGTGCTGGGCTGCCTGACGCAAAGGTCCAAGAAGACTTCAAGTCAAGGCGAAACACCTGCATGCCAGCGGCATTGTTTAATCGCTTCGACATGGCACATGCTTTGGATGTCCAACAAGTTCAAATCATTGTCACAAAAAAACGATTCGTATTGAAAGTTGGTGAATCAAGGGTGCTGTATCACCATAGTAGTTGACTTCAGCCATGGCTCTTGCTGCTGTGGAAACTTTGTCAGATGAAGAGGCTCCTAGAATCACCACTCCAGATGATGTTCCCCAAAAAGTTGCAAAGTTGGAAAGTGGCAAGGCTGAAAAGCCAAAGTCGAAACCGAAACCAAAGGCCAAAAGCAAGGGAGGAGGAAAGGGCAGCGAAAAAAAAGCCTCGATGCCTGAGCCAGAAAAAGTGAAATCAAAGGGTGCGTCAGCACCAAAGGCTCTCAAACGGCCGGCCTCGGCTGCCTCGGCTGCATCCGCCATGAAGCGGCCAGCTGCTAGCCGGGACCCAGACCGAGTTTCCACTGGCAAGGGCCTGTATAAGAATGGTGTTTGGGGCATCAAATTGAACAAGAAGGAGATCATTCGGGTAGCTTGGTGTGTCAATATTTTTCATGTGTGGCCTGTTGTCATTGTGTGCAACTGGCAAATTCAAGAGATGATGCATCATGCTGATGTTTTGTTTGGGAAAGTAGGTACCAATAGCTTGACATTCATTTGCTCTGCGGGTTTCAGGTAAAGCCACATCCTGATATCTCTGAAGAAGCTCTTGCCGAAATCGCTGCCGCTTGGACTGTTTGGCTGGTGACTTTTTTGATTCATTGAGCGCACAGGCATGGTCAACAGGCATGGTCACTCACAATAATCCCAAACCCAATTAGGTCCCATTCAAATCCAGCGAAATACATACCAATTTGAATCCCCATCAAGTTGAATTGACCTGAGTTTCAAAAAAGTTATCAATTAAGCCTTGATCAAACTTTCCCATCCAAGTCCTACCAATCGACCCTGAGGTTGCTGTGAAGGATGAGCTTGTTCGCACGAAGGGGGATGTCGAAGCATCCAAAACTTTGTGTGTATCTTGAATGCACTGGATTTCTATCATCAAGTTTAGAATGGTTTTGCCAAATTATTGCCACTGTATGTCAGTGTGACAAACATTCCTCTGTTAGTTTCACATGGTAGCTATCACCACACCCCAACAAGATCATTTATTTTGGCAATTCATTTTCTATTTTCCTCCCAGGAGACCATGCGTCAAGCCGCCATCGACAAGTCCCAGAACGCTTCCAAGGGTGCTGAGGTGCCTGCTGTTGAAGAAGAAGCCTACGAGGGCAAGGAGGTTCATGGAGAAGGTGAAGAGGAAGAGATCGAAGTAGATGATGACATTGAGATGAAGGTTGGGGATTCGACAAAAATGCAGTCAATGATTACTGACCATCACATCAAATTCAATCAGGGATCCATGCCCCTTTTTTTCAGAAACCTTTTTGCACTTCAGAAACTTTCAGAGATATCAGAAAAAAAACGAAAACGTTCATGAGATTTTCTTGGAACATTCCAGGACCTATTTGGATCGCCAGCTGATGTGGACTGAATCCCGGGTAGAAAGTTCCAGCCTTTTGTTGGCGGTGGCATGTTGGCAGCAAAGCACCTGAGCCGGGCACCACTGCCTGAACTTATTCCTTGAACACCTTTCAGATTCATACCAACTTGGGGAATACATATAAATGTATATATATATTTACATAGGTATATGTACATATAAATATATATGCATATGTAAATAAATAAATATATATATATATATATATGTTGATAAATATGTATGTATATTTGATGTATACAAATGTAAAATTATGTATATATTTATGTAGTTATATTTATGTATATAATATTTTTAAGTACATATATTTATGTAAATATTTTTTGTATATAAAGACAAATACATATATATATATATTTAAGTATATATGTATATATGTATATATGTATATATGTATTTATGTATTTATGTATTTATGTATTTATGTATTTATTTGAATTTGCATATTTGCAACTATGTATATGTATATATATATATATGTGTGTGTGTAACTGCATATATGTATATATGTAAATATTTATGTATAACATACATATATATATATACATGTATGCGTTTGTCTTTACATGTAAATATTTTTATAAATATGTTTTCATAAAATTTATCTACCCCTAAAATTGCAAAAACATCGCTTTACTTTTCACCTTTGGCAGTGGGTGAACGGCCAAGAACTTCGGCGGACACGAACCCATTGCAGCCCATGTTGAACACATTTGTTTGGTGGCAGTTCTGTCGCACATGGTTCTTCTAAAACTTAAGGGCATTGGGTTTACATACCGTCATATGCGTTTACTTTCACCAGCGCGGCTGTGAGTGGCTGTGAAATGGCACAGCGATTTTTGGAAACATCGATGCCGAAAAAACATGATCCAAAGCGAGGTCAAACATGGTCAAACATCCACTGCATTAGTGCTTTGTTTCAGTGCCAACTTCGGTGATCCCCATTGAGTGTCAACTTCGGTGATCCCCATCCCGGCTAAGGTTCCAAGCCAACCCGTGGGAAGGCCAGCCAGATAGTGAGTCAGAGTCAAAACCCAAAATCAAACCCATCAATGGGATATGTTATTATAGTACCATGCGCGGTGCCAAGCATGCACATTCTAGGACATCATGATGACCCAACTTTTTTCATCTTTTTTCTACACTTGGAAATGTTGCCCCCAATGGGTTTCAATGGAGCTTGGTTTGGGTTAAACTGGTGAATCAGGTGCACTACCAAACGTACGTCAACCAGGTAAAGGCCAATTGGAGTAACAGTAACAATTCAGATTCAAAATTGTTTCAAAATTGGGTCTAAAACAATTCAGTATCATCACATTGCGGGTATCTCCAAACATGTTTTTCGTTTGAACCCCACTTTGGGGTTTCATCGCTGGGCTTCCCCACCTCGGAGGCCATCTTCTTGGCCACCACGGGGTGGCAATGCGGTTCGGCCGGCTGGCCGGGGGGTTGGTTATTTGGATAGTAGCATATAATACATACATAATATACATAGATAGATATAGATATAGATATAAATATAGATCGATAGAGATTTAAGTCTATCTTTGTGATGATATAGGTAAGGGCTCATACGCAAAAAAACAATTCCTAATAGGCACCACAACCACTACCCCTTTCATACTTTTAAGCTACAAAAACTATAATATATTACGCACACCAGTTTTTCGCAAGCGCCGCGTAGACAAGCTAAGTTAAGTTTCTACATTATATGGTTATCATTCGGTTGGGTTGGCTCAAGCTGGTGACTTTGGATAAAAGTGAGCTTTCCAAGCAGCAATCATGGCATTGAATGCTTTCACCAAGCATCACCAGCTGCACTTTAGCTAGCCAGAAGCCAAAACCCTGGTTGCATAGCAAAACCCTGGTTACCAGGAACCAGAACTTTCAACAAGATGAACCTCCACCGAATCCTACACCACCGACACCGCCACCTACAACTACACTACCACTGATCGCCACGCCTCCACCTGCACCGAAAGCCAGACCCACCGAACCAGACGTTCAGGACCATCGCATTGTCCCAGCTCCAGCCATCGCTCCTCCTCACCAACCACAAGTTCCATCACCACCAACACGCCGTCCACAATCCCGAACTCCAAGATCACGTTCCCATCGACCTTCTGTACATTCCCATCACCATCGCAAATCTCCTCAACGTGCAGCTCGACCTCGTTCTCCTCTTCCTCGTTATCGATCATCCACGAAACACGCCAAGGACCGCCGAACCCCATCCCCATACAGACGAAGATCACCGCCAAGACGACGCTCTCCTGTGGTTCCTCGACGTCATCGATCTCACCCACGCCCATGCTCCGCGACACCACGTCACCGATCCAGAGGCCGTGAAGTCGTACTTCGACCTGCTGCAAACCCATCCAATCCGAACTACATCCCCACTCCCGATGCTGATGACACCTGGGGTTCATGGAACGAAAGCCACTACACCGACACCTACCACCACCACACTGCTCGACCCAATCCTCCTGCCGATCCACCACCACCGGAACCACCAACCAACCCACCAACCCATACTTCAGCACCACTCGGCGCGGTGTCCTTCCGAGTTCCGGACGGCGACAGTGAAAATTCTGAGGTTACAGATACAATTTCGCTCACCAAGTTTGACACGAATGACATCGACCTCGATGAAATGGTGGCTGCGGCCAATGACCCCCATAGGGTCCGTTGCCTGACTGAGCTTGGCCCCGATCATGTTGTTCCCCTACGCCAATCATTGACCCCGGCTATCTTGCAGCTATTCAACCAATTTGTGGACGCGATGTTCGAACAGCTGGCTCAACCATACCGCACCGTCAACAACCATCGTATTTACATCAAAGCAAGCCAAGCCACCGTCAGGAATATTGCCAGGGCCTTTGCACAATCCGACTTACTGGACATCGAACTCGCAAGGCAAACACAAGCCTTCTACATCGAGCCAGAGAACTTGCTGACCATCACGGTTCCCACAGGATTGAAGAAGAAACCAATCTACCGTGGCGAACACATGGGCACCTACCTGATCTACCACAAAACGAGTTGGGAATCAGTTGCCAAAATTCTTGCGGAAGACTGCATCCGCCCGGCAACTTGGACAAAAAACGAAGCCGGCATACCGACTCAATACCCATGTTACGGGTTCTTCGGAATGTCCTCTGAGATCGCAGACATCGACAACCTACCCGGCTATGCTGTCAAGATCTGTACCTCTCAGCTCTACAAAATAGGCAAAGGACAAAACCCATCAGGCCTACTGGCCATATGCCGCTCACCCAAATGCATCCGTGCCCTAGCTGGAGGAAATGACCAAATCCAACGCTTGTGCAACCTTGCGGGCATCGCCAAGGGCAAAGACAATGCAACGGCTATGAACTCAAGCGCCGCATCTATATGCTACGTTGCCTCCACTCACACGGTTTTCCCGGGCTTGATCACACACCAGACTACGGAGACCAATGCACCTTCGGAACCTCCTGATGATCCCGCACGTCCAGTACGACCTGACCCTTCTGCCGACGCCCCAGAACCTTCGGAGACGGCCCCAGACGACTCTCGCGACACACCGAGCCACCGCGAGACCGCTGCATCTGGCTCTCGGGACTATGCTCGCCGATCTTGGCACGACAATGCTTCTTGGGACAATTCAACCTACAGCCGCCGAGATCGCCGCTCATCATACCATGAAGACCACTCTCGCGACCAGCACCATGAAGGCAGACCTCGTTCTCGACACTCGACCTACCACTCCAGATCTCGTTGGTGAACTTCCTACCCTTGCGGAGCACCGGAACAAGTACCGACTATTCTACGTCATCGATACAGTGAGCCTAGTGGCCCTGCCCGATCATTTTGGAGTAACAATGCTTCTCCCGACATCAGGTATTGACGCCACTTCTTCCTCAAAAGGTTTGTGAACTGCTGCATGCTCATGATTGTTGATCCGTTCGCCCGCTTCGTTTTTCACTTCACGTTTCACATACTGAGACCTCGTATTATGTTTCACACTATTTCAACCGCACATTACTATCGTCTCACCTCGACATTTTCCGCAGCTTTCATTCGGCAGTTCGAGCGCATTTTGACCTATTATCTCGTGACCCTTTCTACATCATGGCGTCCCAGGACCTGATCTCCCAATACAGCGCTGATATGAATGGAATTCCTCCTTCCCAGCCGGATCGTTCGCGCACACCACCTCGTCATCAACATGGATGGCACCAAGTAGTACCGGCGTTCCGTGGCCCGATGCACTATGCCATGACGACCCATCGACCCTTTTGGAACCCATCCGGAATACCGCCACCGCCACCTACGTCTCCATCGTTCCCAACACGCCCACCATGGACTTCACCTACGGCACCTTTTCCGCCCACGCCGCCTCCGAGCTCACAGACACCTCCCAACAACGCCAACTTTGCACCTCAACGTCACCCTTTTACACCGAGATCACCGAGACCTATGTCATCCCCAGGAGCAAGTTCCTCTGTCAACGAAGGATATACATGCAGACCAATTGAAATCCCACCAGTGGAGAACTGGAAACCTGATGTCGACTTCCACGACTCCAACAAGATCAATGGTTTGGACTTTCCCTCCAGAATCCGACAGAGCAGATTTTCAAGCTACAAGGACATTGAAGGGATGGATCCTTTACAAGTCCCACTCTGGAAGTTCTTGTACCAGGGCTTACACAATACTTGGCTTCGCCGAGTTGCATACGGAAGAGAAACCTTCGTCCTTCCTTTTGACAACATAGGCACTACAGTATTTGTGGCCGAATTGGTATCACAACTACGCACCCGCAATGTAGACTTGGACAAACTTGCTACATTTCGAGCTCGTTCAGCAGGCCAATGTCTCAACCAGAAGGAAGCCACCCAAAACATGGCCAAAGATGTTGCTCAACTTCTCCAATCTTGGCTCCCGACTCAACCTTCTGCTGACGTGGCAAGCCAACAACGCATTCTTGAACTGGAGGCAGAACTGGC